TCGCTCGTCTCTCTCCTTTTTGCCCTTTTACTATTTGCATAACTTGTTGACTGCGCAATAACGGCCATCCTGTGGCTGTCGTCTTGCTTCTTTCCCTTGTGAAATGGTAGGCTAGTTTATCAGAGGTCTGCGCAGAAAACTGTATCTGCAGGACTGGAGGTTGAAGTCCAGCACAGTCTCAAACTCTTAAATTATCCGGTCGTCGCACTAAAGCCTCCTCACAATCAGTGACGAACCGGATTACTGGTTGGAATTACTTGTGCAGAGAAGACTACATGTAAGAATTCCAGCATTACAGGCGTGGTCTAGCCTGCCGCCAGCACTTGACACTGTCAGACTAGTCTGAGATTAGTTCAGGTACGAAACCGGGTTTCTGAGCACACGGGGATGCCTAGGGCAAATTCGCGAGCTTTGACGTGGTCTCCCGTTTCAGCCAACAGTTGTAGCCCCTCGTCAGGTTCATCGTTAATACCTGTGAACTTTGTCAAAGGCGCATCCTAACAGCCTAAGTTGTTGAACGAATCTCAGCGGCAGATCCCCGCATTCATTATGCCGTCGAAGTCGCGCCTAGATGCCGACGTCTGTGTTATGATCGATTTATTCAGACTATGTTTGACACAATGGCTTTGCGTATGCTAACTTGTTTGAAACTGCTTCTGCCTGGAGCACTTCGAACGTCATTTCTCGGTTATTTGAAGCAGCCGGCTCTCGTGCGGGACGAGCCTGCATGCTAGTCTGAGGTACAGCTTTCAAGTGGCAATTTTGGAGGTCCGCCTCCCTTTGTTCGCTGCTACATTCATCAAAGTCGATCTCCAGTGGTCTCCGTGCAAATGATGCGGTACTAAGTGGTGGTTTGATGCTCACAGTCCCTCACGCTGACACCGCCAGAAGCCTATAAACACCCCGTGGAAGTCGTAATAACTGTCAGGAACCCTGATCTGGACTAGGGCATTGCTCGTATTTCCCACCAGGAAAAAAAGGAGTCTTGGCCTGTTTTGTGTCTGACGGTCAGAATGCACGTGACAACACTTGGCGAATGAACTGATTTCACGACATTGTCTATCTAAGAGGCTACATAGTACGGTTCTTTCAGCTCGACGCCGACATGACTACGTTGTCAATATAGTTGGTCAGAAGGCATGCGTTCATTCTCGGCAATGTGAAAAGCGCGCCCCCGAGTCCAATACCTTGCGCAACTTACAATATAAACTATTTTCGTGTTCTTGTCGAAAACCGAGTCGGAGTTCGAACGGCTGACAAGTTATATGGGATGCGAAATTGGCGTAAATTCGGCTATGTAAGACAGTGACAGTCATGATTTAGACTAGCAGACTATCAGAATTCTCTAGTTGTCCCAGGAACTTTACGAAGACTGCGACCGCTTGTACTCATGAAAAAATTCATAGGCGCGCGTCCTCTCCTAGCCTCGCTTGGCAACCAGTATCCTAGCGTCTTGTCCGTAAATTGCCTGACTACTACTGTAACCAGCCACGCTAGCTCAGTGCTACACGTCGACAGTGGGCAAGGATGGCGCTGACCATGTTCGAGTACGGCTGATTACGCGATGCAGGAAAGGTAAGAGCTGCATTGACCATCAGGACGTTCTTGCCACGGTTCTGGCTTGGCTGACTCCAACCACCTCGCTGCTTTGACAGTCAAAAATAACTGCTTCAAACATAGGCGTGCTCCGGAGGTACTAGACCATCGCAATCTCCGTCACTAGGGTAAGGTTTCTGGCAAATCGATCTGTCCAGTTGGTTGCTGGAACTGCTGACCTTCTCCGCAATCGGACTTGGGGACATATCGTGAAACAACAGGCTCCGCACAACCTGATTGAAACAGATTCCGGTGTAAAATTCCTTCAGGTCTGCGATATTCCCCGGTCGACAGTGATATCGGGAGACGATCAAAAGCAAGCGGGTCCCATATTTCGTAGTCAAAACGAAGAAAGTGCAGCTAGGTCCTAGTGGAATTTGATTTGTTCAGTTTGGGACTCGGTAAACTAGGTCCCTTACGTATCATTAAGTTTTGAAAGGTCCTTTCTGTTGGAGCTGAACTTCGGCATAGATCGGACTATTCGCCCCGCGGTGACAGACAACACGGAAGTTATGGCGAGCCGTGGTTCGCGTGTTACGAATTACGAGCATGTTCGTGTTGCTATGCTTGTAAAGCCCTCTGCAGAGGTGCCCGGATGGATGCAAAGGCAATTTGTAGACTTGAATTTATGGAGATTACCACTCCCAGTTTTGCAATCGAATATCTGCCCGGTCTAAAAATATCAAATGCCTCTTGCACTGCGTTTTACTAATTTTACTTGCTGGACCATTCTTTGCGATGAACGGCTGTCGCCTGCCAAAAGCACAAAAGAACGAATGCACTCGACGTATACGTCGACCGAGATAGCTCAAAGGTGCTACATTGATTCGTAAGTAAAGCCAAACGGTACCCTATTTCGCCCGAAAGCGGTTCTGACAGAGGGCGCTGTTTAAATAGTCAACTGAGAGCGCGGATGGATGCGGCGAAAGCCGCCTTCAGAGAAACTTCTGAATATGCGGTCCGCGGTCTGTGCTGTTGTGTTGTGATGCCTGCACCGGTGTGGACCACACGAGGATACCCTAGTACCCTGAGAGAACGTAAGTAGCGTGGAAGAGACAGTAAAGCGTGATTTGGCGAAATCATGCCTGGCAGGGTATGAGACAAAGGGATGGGCGTGCTATTATTTAGGTCACAAAATTAGAACAAACCGGAGTCAAGTGCAAACTTAATTTAGAGGCAGCTATATTCGCAGGCAAATAACAAAACGCCACTATCTTTTAAGACTGCAGCTGGTGTACAAAAAAAATAAAGGTCAGGTGTATTGCCCTAAATCCCGCTTAGGAAGGCAAACTACGGAAACGATTTAAAGGTACAAAAATCTTGAATTTGTCCCGTGAACTCGGAAGAGGCATCCGGAATTAGATCTTCATTTCGTACAAAGTGCAATCGGCCACCCAGCAGTGCTGCCTAGGACGCCTTACAAGATTTCTTTTGCGATGCAATGCAAGAAATACAAGAATCTGTGGCTTCGATGTTGAAAATTTTAAGGCTTTATATAGTAAAGTCAAGTGACAACAAATAAGGAATAAAGGTAAAGTGAAGTAAATAATATGCAGTAGGGGCGGGCGCCTGAGATGATACCATGAAGTAGTTCTACAGGTAGGTGAAAGGCAAGTCAATGAAGTCAGGTAACCAAATCAAATGATGGAATCCGGCGACCAAAATGCGGGACTAGACAGTGTTATTTGCGTCGCCAGAGGGTCCGTTGCCAGTCTTGCTCTTTTTGATTCTAGATTTTGGGTTACTGGTCTTTTTGTGACCCGATTTGGCTAGGGTCACAGGAGCAGGTCGTTTCCTCAGAGTCCGGCCAGCATTTGCGTCGGCCAGGGATATATCATTCCCAAGCAGAAGCTTGGCTAATTTAACTGGTCAGGCACATGCAGGGAAGCATACCTTCCTCGATTGTTCGGCTTATAGTTAGGCCCTTGCGCATTTGGGGTTTCTTTGATTTTTTCATCTGTGTAACGAGACGAGTGTCACCAAGCTTTTCGTTTTTCAAGAATTCCTTTCCTGCCTATGGAAGTCAAGGTGTGAACAAGAGAAAATGTACATTCAGGCACTAAAAACGATGAGAAATTGCATGTGCTGATGAATAAACTTCTGGTAACTGGCGAAGGGACAACGGAAGCCCGCCTCTAATTTTTGATTCGTCATTTCAGGGACGACAGTGTACAGCAGGTAGCCGGAGGTTTGTATTAGGGTTAAATGTTCCTTCTAGGGCTTCACTAACTGAGTCCTGGGAGTCGAAATTGTCGAAATACCTACTTAGCAAGCCCATAGTCTGGGACAACTCGATCAGAACATTCCAAGCCAACGACCCAAAAAAGTAATTAAAGGATGAAGGTTGTAAATAAGTCCTCAAAACGGCGTAAAAGAAGACGGGTGATGGGAGGATAAAGGGGGTCGGGGGGGTGGCAGTAATAGAATGCTCCGGTCATGATGACAAGCAAATTGATGTAGAATTCGAGCAGACCGCCAGACTTTAAGCAGGTAGAAAAAACCGGAGTGTCTTTTGTTTGGCGGACAGAGGAAGGTGCCCAATAAGGGCAGCCCGCGTTAGTTTTGCTGATCAGGTGGCAGTATGGCGAAGTCAATGGGTCAAACCCATTCTTTCCTTATTAGGCTGGCACTGTGCACTTTACCTGTTTAACTACGCACTTCTACTGGCAAACAGCGTGAGCCCGCTTAAGTTAACGCAAAAGTCGTAAATAAGGGTACAGCTAGATAAATCTCTCCGATGGTTAAAGCCATTATACGCGCCGGATCTATTAGTGTCTCATGATGCAAAGCCGTTTCAATTCAGTCAGTGGGAAATACCAAATGCTGTTCACGTAGTTCTGGCGCGTGAGCTGGTTTAGGAGGCAAAAACCGGATAATTGAACATCCTTGGGAACATGCGCGGAAGAACAGCTAGTATTGTGGCGCTATGACCAGCAACAAACAGACAGGCCGTCTCGGGAGATCACGATCAGGGATTGTGATAGCCTGGCTGGAGAAACGCAGGGCCATGTATGCTACCAAATACAAGTTCGCGTAGACTGTGAGAAGAAAGGGCCCGTTAGTTCAACAAGGATTGATGAAGGAACCATTCGAGTTTCTCCAACTACTAACCCTCCTGATATTTCGAAGCAATGTTGGAAAGTTTTACCTAACACCGCTGCGTAAACAACCACAGGTGATACGCTTAAGCGTATGGTGGGGAGGTCCGGATGTAGCACTACACGTTCAACATTTATCGCAGTTCACGTATAACCGCAACGAGTTACAAAATTATTTACTTGACTTCGATGTCAGATAAGAAAAGGTATTCTACTTTTGTGGAATTCGGTGGTCCATTAGCGTCTAGCATAAACGGGGTCTCCGATGGGATGAAATTGCGCAAACTCTGTGTTCCGTCATAGTGAGACTAAACTCTAACTACCAATCACCTGTGACTTCTATTAACAATGGACTTCGGGCGGCCGAGCTCCTTCTAGCCCTGTGCCAGTCTCTGATGGAGCGCTGACTTCGACAACAGCGTCTTAGACGGGCGGGTTATCGGTAGATCTAATCAAGTCAGGCTACCTAGCGACTCCAGTTATTTTAAGCCTTTGCTTGCTGAAGGCATGCTAGGCACTTATCTCTCGAAAATAATCGATAAGTCTGCTATCCCATGCGGACTGGGTCGGGGCAAGGGTGCAGACCCTGCCAAAAAGTTACATCCCCCTTCTGGCGTAAATAGCACTTTACCATAATATAATTACCAATGTAAATGGCCAAACGCAACTTCTTCGCAAATCGGCCTGCTTTGTGAATAAGGCCTTTAAAAATACGAACACAATCAACTCCCCTCATAACCAGCGTGAGTGTGCGTTGCTGACTTAAAGGGAACGCAGGCGGAATGGAACCTCACCAGGCAATGCGATACGTCGGATTACATTAAGACGGGAAGAGACCTTTGCCAGGTTTTGATACCTGGTTCTCATAAGCATACAATTCGACATAGACAGTAAAGATTACTATAAACTACAACTAAATATCATGTTCGGAACGACCAGACAAGACACAATGGTGACCTCAGGCAGAAACGGGTGAATACCTTCGCCGTCGCTACCATAGTAGAGTCACGGGCCAGATTAGGCTTTTCGGACATAGTCGCCAGCTGGACTGAGGTTAGGACAAAAAATATGCGCGAGACATTTAAACAAACGTTCAACTTTAGCTGTCCGTGTAGGCTAGAGGCCATAGTACTCCAAGCTTCAGCCATACTTCTCCATAGTCTTCGAGTTAGTTACACAACTCTAGTGGTCTAAGCGCATATGTGTTTTTTTAACGGTTTACAACTCAGTGAATAATGTATATGACGTTCATATGAGAAATTATTAACACATGGCAGTCAGTTTAAGCCAGTTTATTAAGGGAATGAGGCTTGCATCCTTGAGCTCCCTGTTCATACCGGTAAGCAGAAATATAATCAATAATTATATCAGCAAAGGCAGAAATTCGAAAGTCAGCGATAAGTGTGGTTTAGGCGCAAACTGCCGCCGCTAAAGCAATCGTGATTATACGTACTGCAGTTTCTTAGCGCATCAGCATCTGGTCTACACCTAAAGGATACGACAGTTCCGGAAAGAAATACTGCATCAGGGAGTCCGTTTCATGCCCCAGTGACCCCGTGAGAGAAGGTGTTCCGTCGGACGTCCGAATGAGCCAACATCCTTTGCATTTTGAAGGGATGACCACGCAGACGGTCAGTTCCGGCCAATTCGAGGAATTCAACAAAGTCTAGGGCGCACTCACGGCCTCTGACAATCATGTAGGTTTGAATGAAATCGCCGCGCAGTTGCCTGTAATTGAGAGTTCAGATCAGTTTACAGAAGAAAATGAGCATTGGCCTTTGAATACCCTGCTTACGACGTAATATTGGGTGCAATGTACGGAGATATCGTGTGGACTGTATAAAGTCAAAGTGTATTGTAAAAAATATAATGAGTTGAACGTCTGTCACAAGGGTTCATTGCAATTCGTCATCGCTTTACCACATTTTGGGACATAAATCTGCCCAGTCTCCTTTTAATGTTTTCCATGTATGGTGACATCACATCAACTGCTGGAGGGTATTCCGTGGTTTGAGCTGCCTGACACAGATGGATAACTTCCGCACATCCAGTTTTTCTTGTCAAATCGCTGATTTAATGCGTGACCTCGGCGTTTGATCGTCACAGAAGACTTGTGGCTATCGTCAAATGCCAGCCTACAATCCAATCTCGAATACGTGTAAGAGTTTCCCGAGCACTTGCATATTACGCAAAAAATAGAATTTTGGGTTTGTTAAATTCTTTTAACACCACAAGTAGCTCTGGCCCCTAGCTATTTTTTGAACTTCCTTTGAATTTTTTCGAGGTTCATGTTGATCGAAGTGTGAAAACTCGGCGCCTCTGTGGGATTCCAACCCACGATAGTAAGGGGAAGGCTTTAGTACACACAACGGTCTTACCACATTAGCTATGAGGTCCTACCGGATGACTCGAGTTTAATTATATTTGGGTCAAGTTTTACCAGCCCAGCCTACTGCAACGTCTGGAATCCACCAAATCTAATACAGCAAGTTGACTGCCCAAGCAGGATTTCCTAAGTAATTCACCTACAATCCACCAGCTGACTAAAAGGCTCACGTAAGTCATCGATGTTTTGGCAGATTTTGAACCATGATGGCTCAACTTGAACCGTCAATGGCTTGAAGGACGTAGTTCAAGCGCGGACTTGTGACTTGGTTTAAAAAAAATTTAAAAGGACTTTCTTCATAACTTGCAGATCTGATATTGGGCTTTTCGCTACTCTCGAACGATCATGGGATGGTTTTAAGGAATTCTTCGTCGGCACATTGAGGTTTTTTGGCTTTCGCGTATTTTAAGGCTGTACGACTGCAAAATTACTTCCCATTATTGACAGATCTTATTGGATTACTCTAGACGAAGTATGGTGCACTTTCCGACACCGGACCTCCGAAATCGGCAATTTCACCACTGCTACAATCGATGCAGGTTGATCTGCAGTCTCTCTTGGTTTATACCAGAAATATTGCCGTGGAACAGAGCGTATACTGGAGGGACAGGAGGAATGTTCAGATGCCAAGTATATGCTGAGGTACACGATAAGTCCCAGCGATGAAAAGAAAAAGCCAGTCGAACGCGTGTAGCTACTCCGAACAGCGCAGACGGTGGAAGTTAGAGGGTTTGCCAAACTGACAATTAATGATGCGAAATGAAAAAGCGATCTGTCATATGCCGAAGTCGAGTCAAATCAACATTATTATCTGCCTGCATAAGGTAGTGAGGATGAGGATTGCATATGTGAGAAGGGGCAACGCTATATATCATTCAAATAGGTCCTAGCTCAATAATAAGTATGTAATCAAAAACAAATTTCTGGAAGACTATGAAAATAGGAAATCTAGATGCTAAAGATACAATAAGAACAGTCAGGAACCAGCGCTAAGTTCACCGCGCAGTATATGGGATTGAGGGACTTTGTAGGTGGGGGTAATGTCGAGGTTTTTAGACGCGGTTGTGGGCTGACTTAGGCAAAATTTCAGGTTTGGATTTTACGAGTGCGATTCGGGGATGGGTCTGCTGACGGTGTCGGAACGGAAAGCTGCCCACAAAACTTGTCTTCTATACCAACTTGGCGAGCATCAAACAACCACGTGTAAACGAATGATTTGCACTTTTCATTGTATACCAGCGGGTCGCAGTGATGATTCTAGCGCACATTATTGCTTGAAGTCTCCCGCGAGCCGTAGAATGGACGCCTTTGAGACAGCCGGGAAAGCACCGAAAACAGGTGTAAGCCTACTTCTGAGGAAGTGTGAAATGAAGGATGGCATGGGTAGATCACGACCAAAAACAAACGCCAAATTATTTCTCTTTGTAGATATTTCGTTAAGGTACCAAACACAAGGCGAAGACAGCAGTTTTGCAACCTTCTGCAGTCGTCGGTATGACAAAGGCCTATTATGTACCCACTGAAGTAGGGTAGATAGAATTGACAAAGGGGGAGGCACATGACAGTTATCAGTCGTGATTGGAATTTTGCTCAGACCCATTTGGTCTCTCCGCCTGCCAGATGGCTGGAGATAACAAGGTAACACCTCCAATACTACTTATAGAACTAGTCCACGCACTAGATTGTCAAATGCAGATGGCATTTTATGGTCGCTACCGGTCGTCAGTACGACATAAAATTTTCTTTTAGGTTCCGAAGTGGTTGTCACGTCCCACTTCTTTGGCAGTTTTACATACCTTACTTCCCAAGACACAAAACTAACTTTTAAAATACTGACGATCGGTAGTGGCTGTGAGATAACTGTCTGTATTTGGTGTGTCATTATCGTGACGAGGATCCTGTGCACTATATTTGGTGTATCCTCTAGCATAGCCTTCGGTATCGATCGTAGTCCAGCTGGCCCGATTGTCAAGATGGGACCGAACAAGATTTCAACCATAAAAATTGTGGGTTACGTGCCCACTTAACAGGTTTGTATACCTCAATTCACAAGGTACACGACAGGCCTACGGCATACGGACGATCGCTAATGGCCGTGAGACAGCTGTCTGCTTCTTGCGTGTTGATACCCCAAGTGGGATGTGTATTCTGGCACTAGGTTTACTGTCACCAGTAGCGCATCCGGATGGTGGGCAGGATGGGCTCGAGCAGGATCCCAACAACGGTAAGCGAGTGTCACTCGTCTACACCTTTGACAGGATTTATTTGTCTTTTCAGTATATCTGCTTTGTGCTTCTTAGATGATTGTTTTTAGAGTTCTCAGGAGCTTTGCGAGGTGCCAAATATGGTGACTTCCAGATGCAGTGTCGTGGGCAGTCTTGAGGTCTTGTGATGACAGAGAGTGACCATCTGATTGTCGACGATAGTGGAATCAAATGTGGATTTGCTTAGTTCGATATGGTTGAATATATTTGGGGAAACTAGGCCCTGTCTTCGAAGACCTTTTAAACATGGTACACTCAATATTCGCACCAAAATGATAATTTTACTGCGGTGTTTCCGGTAGCAAATAAACTTTCCAGAATATTCGTGAAGTAATGAGAACTAAAGTCTGGCCAAATTCATTTGTGGAGGGTAATGCGAGGTAATAGATATCCGCTTTTGTGGTATGCACGAACGAATAGTTGTTTTGGCTTAACAGAGTCCTCCTGTCCGGCCGAGTCGCATTTTTCATGCAGATATGCATTCAGTTCATGTTAAAATATTTGTGTGTCGTTGTTGTTGCTTGTCCCGGGAAGTCCGTTTCAGGAGCCGGAAACCTTAAACGAAAACAAGTGGAGACGAGCATTCAGGTGAAGTAAGTTCCCTCGAAGTGTGAAACAGTTCCCACAGAGGTTAATTGTTATGCTGAGCATGAAGAAATCTCCGGATTGCCGGTTACTTTACTGATTATTCACAATCTTCCAGGTCTGTATGGAATATCCTCATACTTGCCTACGTTCAAGGGGAAATAAGTAAACGCATTAAGTTCCCATTTTTATGATAACGACTCTATGACCTTCCCTTGCACCATTCCCAGTGGCCAATAATCCTTTTTCATGCAGTGACGATACGCGTAAATCCCACCTTTCAGTTGTAAAACGGACAAAGGCCCTGTATGCGCTTTCAAATAACTTCATATTGATACGGGTATGAATTCCTTTAACCGGGAAGGGAACACAGGTCGTCCTTTCAGCAGTCCGGACACACTGAGAGGAGGGTGTAGTGAACAGCCATAATGGCTACGTCGCGCCTCTCGCTTGTGCCTGCACTTACGCACTAACGGCAGCCTGCTACGGCACACACGTCTGCCCAGCTTCGATTTGTCTCGTTGCAATTCACTGTCTACACCACGCACCTGGTCGATACTCTGCCTGCACCATGCAAGGCTTTTCACTACGCTCGCGTGGGCTTGGAGCCAATCCACGCACGTACTATCGCTGACTGGTAAGACAGACACGAACAGTCCAGAACACTAGCGTAAACAATTTGCCACGATTTTTTTGCAGCGGCGACCTTCGGTGACACACGGCTCGTCGCTCTCGCGGGCGCCGACTCCGCGGCGCCGGACGCACCCTCGTCCGGTTGTCAACTTTCCTCTTCACTATTATGTACAGAATAAAGTGTCCAAATTAAATGGCATCCTGCTTCTAACAACCTGGGATATGGCCTGTAGTTGTGGCGTACTGAGCGTACACCATCACCGCTTAGCCACTACAAATTGAGTTGGCAACCGGACGATGATGCGTCCGACGCCGCGGAGGCGGCTTCCGCGAGAGCGACGAGCCCTGTGTCGCCGAAGGTCGCCGCTGCAAAAGTGTTGTGGCCTTCTTGCCTCTGTGCTGTTTGTTCCAAATCACGTCCGCAAGGGCGGCGTCTCGTGTGCACTTGTAACCAATCAACGATAGTAGGTGCGTTGATTGGCTCCAAGCCCACGCGAGGGTAGTGAGAAGCCTTGCATGGTGCAGGCAGAGTATCGAACAGGTGCGTGGTGTAGACAGTCAATTGCAACGAGACAAATCGAAGCTGGGCAGACGTGTGTGCCGTAGCAGGCTGCCGCTAGGGCGTAAGTGCGGGCGCTAGCAAGAGGCGCGACCTGGCCATTATGGCTGTCCAATACAAGGACCACAGATATGAAAAATTATTCAGTACGCGGCTCAGTCCGCATGGGATAATAGACTTATCGATTATTTTCGAAAGACAAGTGCCTAGCATGCTTTCAGCAAGCAAAGGCTTAAAAAAACTGGAGTCACTAGGTAGTCTGACTTGATTAGAGCTACTGATAACCCGCTCGTCTGAGACGCTGTTGTCGAAGTCAGCGCTCCATCAGAGTCTGACAGCGGGATGACTTCTCGTAGGCGGCGAAGAACACACCCTTGTTCCTTTGCATCCGTCCTGCAGTAGATGCATTGTAGGCACGGTCATCGGCAAACCGAATTTCGTAGACGGTGGTTGTGGAAACACGCGTCTGGGAGTGCATCTGATGCTTACTGAGGATGTGAACGTCCGTCACGTAAGCTACGCGGACCCCAGGCGTTCGTTACGGTAGCGTCCATCAATATGACAGAGAACATGAGGCTGAAGAGAGTAGTCGCAAGAGCGCAGATCTGCTTCACTCCGCCAGTCACTGCGAATGTCTCTGAGACAGCTCTATCGCCCGCGACTCGCGCCATCGTATAATTGTGCAGCTGACGCACCATCTGTGGGAATCGTTCGGGACAGCCGAATTTCTGTGTGTTTTTCCAAAGTTCTTTGCGATCCATCGTGCCAAGGGCTTTCGAAAGATCCACGAAGGTAGACTACAGGTGGGTCTTCATCTGTTGACGTTTCTCCTGCAGTTTGCGGACGGCAAAGATGATGTCGGTGGGCCCATGAGGATGACGAAAACCGAACTAACTTTTCAAAAGAAGAGGCTGCTCCGGATGATTGTTCAGACGGTTTAGAAGAATGCGAGCGAAGATCTTTCCGGCGATGTTCAGCAAGGAGACATCTCTATGGTTGTCACAGAGCTGGCGGTTGACTTTCCGTTTGTAGAGATGCCCGATTGTGCCGTCCTTTATATCCTGCGGGACTTCTCATTCACGTCATATTTCCTGACAGAGCGCTGTCAGTTGATCCATGAGTTGTGGGGCGCCGTGTTTGTAGATCTCAGCAGGGGTCGCGTCCAGTAAGGACGCTTTCCCACTGGGGAGCTGCTGCAGGACCCTGATGGTTTCCCCGAGAGAGGGCGGGAGGTCGAGGTCGACGTTGGTCTTCCCTTGAGGCAAACAGGTGATGGTAGCATCAGAGGTGGTGGATGCGGTTAAAGACGCTTCTGAAGTGCTCGGCCCATCCCTGTAGAATTCGTGTATCCGCTGTGAGTAGGGCAATGCTGTGAGAGCCGAGGTGCATTTGGTTTAGTTGGTGGACCGTAGACAGCCTTGATCGCAGCGAAGAAGTTCTTCCATTCATTGCAGTCGGCGCACCCTTAGATCTCCCCGGCCTTGCAAGCCGTCCAAGCTTCCTGCATCCCGCGCAGCCACTGCAGCACAGGGCGGTAAATACGATAGTAGACCGCCTGGTTATCGTCGATCGAGCGGTTGACGTAGGCTGTGTGCAGGCGGTTCTCCTCGACGAGCCGGTGGCTGATGGAGGCGTCGTTGTCATCGAGCCAGTCTAGGTGTTGGCGGGGTGCGTAACCGAGGACGGTCAGGACCATCGGTTGGACTGTGTCCCACAGTTGAAGACATCGCTTCTCCATGGAGACGTTCTCGTCAGTGGTGGCGGCGGCATCAGCGACTTGTAGGCTGGGTAGCCGTTGAGCTAGCTCACTGTTGCAGTGGAGAAGGTGAGCAGGCTAAGACAACAAGGCAATATTCAATAAATCTGGGGGTCGCTCATCTTAGGGTCTCCTGTGAGGCTCTAGACGAATCCGAATTTTGGAGATGACGAGACGACGGTTGGTGCATCCGTTGGAACCCCGGATCGCCTTTGTCACCAGCACTTCCTGATGGTCTCGCCTCCGGACGAGGACATAGTCCAGCAGGTGCCACTGACACGACCGAGGATGCCTCCAGGTGGTCTTCTCTCGCTCCGGCAGACAGAAGAACGTGTTCGTCAGGATGAGGCGGAGTTCTGTGCAGGTGCGGAGAAGCAGCAGGCCGTTGTCGTTAGAGTCGCGGAGACCGTGGGGACCGAACACTCCTCTCCAGGCAGTATGGTCTGTGCTGACGCGGGCGTTGAAGTCGCCAAGGATAATCAACTTGTATGCCTTCGACACAGTCGCCAGGAGGGCGTGCAGGTCCTCGTATAATTTGTCTCTTGCGGCGTCATGGCTGCTCATCGGCGGAGCGTAGGCGCTGATGATGGTGGCGAATTTGCCCCCACCCCGGAGAGGCAGACGGAGGCTCATCAGGCGATCGTTTATGCCCTGCGGCAGACTGGGAAGTCGTCCTACGATGTCGTTCCGGATGGCGAAGGCGACACCCGCGTCTCGTCGCTCTGCCCTGGGGCGACCACTCCAGAAGAAGGTGTAACCGGCGCCCACCTTCTCCAGTTGGCCTTGTTCGGAGACCCGAGTCTCACTGAGTGCAGCGATATCCACCTTGTAGCGCGCCAGTCCCCGAGCCATTAGCGCCGTCCTCTGACACGGTAGGTTGCTCCTCGGATCGTCTTAAAGGCAACGAACATTCCAGAATGCCAGAATGAGCAAACTCACTCTACTGGTGTGGTGAGTGCGGCGGCGGGGAGAAGGAGGTGCGGAAAGTGAGTGTGTCGTTTCTGTTTTGACTGTGAGTTTTGCGTCTGCGGTCCCGGTCAACCTGCAGACGGCGTGAATCCCCAGGGCACCTTTTATAACCCCTTCTCCTCGCTGAGATGAGCGTTGCTCTCCCTACATAGGGATGTTCAGTTGTCCCAGACGGCTGCTGAACTCCACTATGTTTAATGAGAGAACGGCCCGAGTTAGCCTGGGCCTGCCAAGGACATCACCATAGGGCTTGCAGGGTAGAGAGAGATGCTAGGGGAGTAGTAAAGAGACGAGAAGTAGAGCTTTCCCCTCCCTCTTTAGGCTAACTGTTTGCTGGAATGCAATCGATGAGCCGACAAATTCCACAGGACGGCATTTAGCTAACAGACAGAAGGGGCATGAACAAGCAGACAAAAGCATGCAGGCAAAAACAGCAAAAAGCAAAGGCAACAGCAGAAATTCAACGGAGCGGCATTTAGCTTTCAGCAAGGACAAGCAAAAACGAGCAGACAGAGAGCAAGCAAAAATAACAAGCGAAATCAAAGACAGGAGAGCAAAGTTCGCTCACCTGTGGGCTCACCTACGTTGTGGCCTGCTACACAGAAGAGCAGCTGAAAACGGTCTTTAATTCATTAGCAGTCTCTTGCGATAAAATGCCGCTGGAATCATTAGACTCCAGGGAGATTACGCACAATAGGCTCGAAGAGATAAGACAGGAAATAAGAACCGATGCACTGCCAAGAGGCTTCGAAAACTGTATGACAGACGGGACGGATTCTGCGCTTGTCGGTCGCTGTGTCGGCTGTAAAGAACTTGAGAAGCGGGTCCAGACGCTAGAAGAGAAGCAAGGCCTACTGACGGACATCATCATGGCTATTCTTAAGCACAGTAAGATAGAATTACCAAATAATCCGCCAAATTTCCGATCGATCGGCGACGAACATCCTACTAATAAAGGCGCTAGCGCGGAAAAGTCAAAGCCAGTCAGGAAGAGGAAGCGAGTTATGTCTCCAGAGGAATCTCTAGACAATTCAGTTCCGGTGGATAACGTGGCAGTCGACACTAATGCATTAAAAATAAGTCAGGTTCCATTACCTGCCATAGTAACAAAACCTGCCAAATCATCGAACAATAAAGTTGGGAAAGCCAGGGTGTCCCTCAGAAGATCTGTTAGAAACTACAAGGACTCGCCGATATTCTTGGAAGGCAATGCTGTTACTCCACTTCTTCACAAGGCTAACTCATCTGGAAAGTGCCCTAACCATTCAGTTTATGGAAAAGGACACGATAAGCCTTCGTGCAGTACATTGCAACAGGGTAATGATTGTAAGAGCTCCACTGCCGAAGCAAGTACGTCACATGAAAATCCATGCCCTAAACTCCCTTCGCCGGCCGAAAATCATTCAAATGTCGAAGTGACAACAGCCGTCGGGAATACTACAGTAGCATTATATCGTCCTAGCGCGGACGGG